TGTAAAGGAAAACAACAAAGTAAAGGTTGTTTTCTAATGCAGAAAGGCAGCTCATTGATTCTATTAAATCTACACAGCCTTTCCTTTGCTATCATCTACTCCAATGAACAACAGAGTTTGGGAGCTACTTAATGCAGTTGAGGCAACAAGCAAAATTCATTCTCCTCTCAAATTAATACCAGAAAGTAAGCCGATGGAGGGGATTTTTTCTACACTCAGAAATTTAGGAATAAGTTGTCCTTTACAAAAGTTAAGGGAGATATATAAATAATTTCACCCAAATTTAAGAAACACCAGTGGAGGCTAGCAGCTATTGTACAACTTAAATTTTACGTCAGTCTTCCACCACAAATCCTGAGAAGAGAGAGATGTTTTTCACTGCACACCATTCTTATGTGGAAGTGAGAGCAAACCTCAAAAGGATCCTGGAGGCAGGGCCATCTTACCCATTGGTGCTAGGGGTGCGGGACACCCAGATGCCGGGCTCTCAGGGGCGCCAGGCCGAGAGTTGAGTCCGGGGAAGAGCCCGCCTGTCGGTTGGAGCACTTTGTGCTGTGAGTTTGGGGGCGACCGAGCCAGTGAGACAGTGAGGTGGCCGGCCAGCTCTGCCCTCCTGCGCACCTGTGCGCACCTGGGACTGGGCAATAGGGTGGTGGTGCCGGCGGATCTTTGCACCCCGGCACAGCATATGCTTAAAACAGCCCTGTCTGGAGGGCTCTAAAAGAGCTAATCTGAATTATCATCAACTTACTTTATGAACAAAAAAATTGCAGTCAATTCAAACAACTCTGATCAATACTCACATTATCAATACTCACAACATTGGAACTTTTAGTAGGTGAGGAAGGGCCTAAAATAGAGAATAAATATTAATATAACCCATCACACCATTATATTCTACAGTTTTCTATATCCGGTATACTAATCTGGCGGGTTAGAACTCTGTATTCTAGAGGTCTTGTCCAAGCATTCACAAATCCACTTGTAAGCCTGCCAAGGAGAAAGTGTTCCAGGTTTCTAGTGAGCAGGCCACCTACAACCTTACACATCCCTACCAAAGAGGTCTTATTTCTACTGCAGTTTTTAAGATGATAAAGAACAGCACAAGTTCTTTCCAAGAACTCGTAGATACATCCTACGTTTTGGTTAATTTTACATTATAGAAAAATCTGTTCTATAATTTAATTTGTTCTCCTCACAAAAAAGCCTTCTAAAAGCCTACTACTAAAATCACAATAGTTAATGAATTCTGCAGTAAATTCAGGTGGCCGGCTAGTATTATAATTTGAACCATGACAGTATAGCTCAGATAACAAAGTAGATTCCAAAAACAGGTCAACAGTAACATGGCTTAATTGCACTTTAGGTAGCAATTAATCCAAACTTCCTGAACATTTTGAAAATAGACATAAGAATCAGTGAACCTACAAACAGATGGCATTATAAAGAGGTTGTTTTCAGTAAATCAGCATCTTTCAATTTGTTCCAAGAACCATGGAACCAGTTCATCTGCCCCAGACACAGTGATATAAATTAATACATATATTTTCCATTCTCACAGGGGAATTCAAAATCCTTTTATTCCAACATTTATTTTAAATGTTCTAGGTGCCTCATACAATTAAATACAATAAAAATGTGTTTATCTTCTTAGTAACCAACCATTGAGCTGAAGAGGGACGGAGAGCATATCAGCTTTCCAACAGAAGGAAAAGCTTACAAGTATAGTACAGGAAGAAAAAAGAATATTGTGGCACCTTTAATATGAACAAACGTATTAAGTTATAAGCTTTTGTAGACTAGAGTCCACTTTATTTGAAGTATCGAATGACGTGAACTCTAGTCTCTGAATTTCTTAGTCTTTAAGAAATCATGGGACTCTCAGATGTTTTTGCTGCAATACAGCTAAACCTCTGAAAAACTCAATAAATAGAAATTGATATTTCCACTGGAGTGTTCCCTCTGCCTTCACCACCCACCCACCCACCCAAGGGTGGAGGGGACAACGATCTATAGTTAACATTAGTACCTAGGCTAACCATGTAACAGATGGCCAAAACATCTTGCAAAAAAGGAATTTTCCTTACCGCAGGAAAAGTGAATCCTATCAGTCAGTTTTCACACTGAGGGCAATTCCAAATCTGAACTCCCCCAAAAGTTGTATATAAATATATACAAGATCAATAGAGGGATTTGTATTCTTTAGACACTTTAACCAAGATCTCTTAGAGCTGAAGTGACCTGGCAAGGTTAGTCATTTAATAGCCCAGTTGTACAAACTGATATCACAAATAGTACTTTATGACAATGCAGAGCCCATCAGTAAAAGAAAGCTTACACTTATGCTTAACACTTGATTATGTGACCCTCGGCAAGGTGGAGTTAAGAAGCCAAAATAAGCAACCAGAAAGGACAGACAACAGATCAAGACTAATGAAAGGCAAACCAGGAAACCACAAGTGAAGTTCTTACATGGCAGCACACAAGTATTCACCTTTCATGTATTATATCTACAATATATTTTGGAAAGCTGTTTGGACACCTCTTAAGATTGCATAATCAAATTTTGAATGTTGGCTCCAGAGATCAAGAAGCGGGTTTTTGTCTGTACTTGGACAACTGCACTTCATTTTCAATCCAATGGTAGAATGAACCTTTCAAAACCACACTGATTTAAACCATCAACATGTATTAAGACAGTGTATGTTGAAAAAAAGATCTTACAGTGTTTCACAATTCTTAGTATCTTTTTTTTAAAAATGAAAAGAGAGAGTATGACATTTTCTACTTTTATTATCACCCATAAATATAAAAATACACAGTGCAAAAGAGTGATAAACTTACATTTACGCCATTACACAGTGCTTAAAAGTGACAGATATTTTAAAATACATAAAAATGTCATTACCTACCTCCCCTTAGGATAAGCAGTGGCACTTCTGCTCCAACTGGAAACTGCTTCAGTACTTCTACCACCTGAAGGTGAGTTAAGTTCTGCACATTCTGATGATAAATCTCTTTAATTATATCCCCTTTCTGAAGACCATGGCACCACTGGCTATCTAAGATCATCTTCACCTTCTGCCCTACAGGGCTGTCAGCTATTGCAAATCCAAAACCTTTAGGTCCCTTGATCAGAGGAATTGTGACCAGTTCTGCTTGAGAGCATCCTGAAGAAGACACTGAGGCCCTCTGTTCGTTGAGGTCTGTGGAAGGGCCATTCAAGCGTCCATTGAGTAAGATATGCCCTGGCTTTCCATTCTGGTCCAAAACCATTGTTCCAGGTATTAACTCTTGGTTGATCATACAAGTATCACCTTTTACTATTTGCTGACCATTTAAGACAGGAGTGGCTGTAACAATATCTACAACAGGGTCCTCATTTTCATCAGGAAGAGGGTATCCACGACACAGAGTCATGTTCACATACTGGTTGACAGGAACCAATTGAAACATCTGGACAACATCAGCATGGGTATGGCCCAAGACACACGTGCCATTTATGTCCACAATGACATCACCTGTTAAAAGCAAACAGGACATTGTTAATACAAATAAACATTATTCCCATACGTTAGCATGATCAGGAGGTTAGTAACCTCTCTAAGGAAAAAAACTGGAAACTACTCAAAATACTAGCGAAGAAAGATAGTATTATTTCCTTTTGCTCATTTGCAGCACAAGGCAGGATTTCTCTTGCATGTAATCTGTGTTTTGGCTTTGATAAGATCACACAGTTCTAAATATATAAAGCTTAATCTGCAGCAGACTCTTGCAGTTTCAAAAGGGAATCAGTGGGTTTCAAAATGGAAGCAGTGTGCATGTAACAGTATGCATATATTTAAGTTTACTTCATACATTCTAACACATTTCAAAAGAAATAGACTACTCTTCTAGCTTTCATGTATTGTCACTGAAAAAAGTCTTACAAGTGTTTTTTTTATATTTACTTATTTCATAAATAATTTTGCCTTTTAAGAACACAAAAGCAAGTATGGAGAACATGCATCTTTCAACTCTACACAAGAAAAATCAGATTAGTAAAGTCTGATAAATGCTATCATACCCAGTCTGATGATGAACAACTTCACAAACAGCACTCCTTGTAAGCAAGCCAGTAAACCAAATGAATTCTTACTGGCTTTTTGTATCTATGACTTACTGCAATGGAATTTCACACAATTCAGATCTAACAATCTAAGACATCTGCCCAGTAATTAGATGTGTGTGGAAGTAAGGAAAAAAGATTATAGAGACTAGAAATGAGGGCCACAACCTTCTAAACAAAATATGAAAGCAACAGCATGAAAAGGAAGAACCTGTTTGGGAAAAAAGACAAAAGGTGTTCAATGTGGAGAGTGACTCAAAGAGAACATTCCATAAACTGCTGTTTTTGTGGTGGTCAGAAGAGAACTCTAGGAAGGTAGTCACTCTGCTCTGAGCAAAAACAGAGAAAACCAAGCTCTCAAGCAGAGAGAGAAAAGTCTGGATCACAGATGTGAAGGTCTAGGGGGGAGGAATGGGGTGGGGTTTCCTCATTTTTCTCCAAAGCTTTTTAAAGTTTATTTTCAAACAAATGAAAAAAATGCATTATGGAATATTTTCTTTTACAATGAAATACATGTTTAGGTCAAGGTGTTCATATGTTTACTCTCTGCAAATGATTTCTAAAAACTATGTAGCAGGAAGACCTTTATGTAAGACTTATCAGAACATTACACAGAGGACAAGCAAGTCCTAAATTGTACAACTGAGAGTACAACCCTCAATAGATTTCTGCCTCTAGAGGGCACTGACATTGCCACAAGAGAAGAAAGCTTTTTGGGTTGGTGGGCACATATGAAATTTTGAGAAAATGCTGAGGGTACCAGTCACAAATGACTGCCACCAAGGGTGTGGCCTAACACAAAATGGCCGCTTCTTCTGAAAGAATCAAATAATTGTAGAGTTGGGAGGGAGTGTGAGGGCCATTTAGTCCAACCCCCTGCAAGGCAGGAATCTTTTGCCCAATGTGGGGCTCAAACCCACGACCCTGAGATTAAAAATCTCATGCTCTACTAACTAAGCTATTATATTCCTCTAAGTTCTAATCAGAGTAGACACATTGAAATTAATGGACCTAAGTTAAAGGTAAAGGTACCCCTGCCCGTGCGGGCCAGTCGTGTCCGACTCTAGGGTTGTGCGCTCATCTCACTTAAGAGGCTGGGAGCCAGCGCTGTCCGGAGACACTTCCGGGTCACGTGGCCAGCGTGACGAAGCTGTTCTGGCGAGCCAGCACCAGCGCAGCACACGGAAACGCCGTTTACCTTCCCGCTATAAAGCGGTACCTATTTATCTACTTGCACTTAGGGGTGCTTTCGAACTGCTAGGTGGGCAGGAGCTGGGACCGAAAGACAGGAGCTCACTCCGCCGCGGGGATTCGAACCGCCGACCATACGATCGGCAAGTCCTAGGCACTGAGGTTTTACCCACAGCGCCACCCGCGTCCCCGGACCTAAGTTAGTAGTGTCCATAATTTCAAGGGGTCTACTCCAAGTAGGACTAACACTAGATACAACCTAATACAACCTGCAAGAAAAGAGACAGGAACATAAAATTGTTCAAATATGAACAAATGGATTAAAAATTTGAAAAATCTTTCAGCTTTTCCGGGCACTATTAAGTCTTGGTACTTATGCCGTCTGCTCCTGGTGTGCTGCTGTAAGTTAGACAGCAAATTAGAACATAACTGAATCCAGAAAACATATTCAATAGCTACAGCCAGCCATACCATGTATAGTCAAGAAAACAAAAACCAATGACCCCTTAATGATAGCTGGCAAGTATTTTTTAAAAAAATCTTTATGGAATAGAAAAGAATACAATACACCTAAAATACATAAAAGTCAACTCACCAGAATAGCAGCTGAACAATACTGGCCAATACTAAGTGTGATATTAGAGGCAGAATGTCATATATATGCTTCTCAAAATTAGGGGTGTATGAGGAGATTAAAACAAAATTAATGTTTTTGCCTTTGCACTGTGTTCTCTCCTCCCCAAACAACTTGGGAACAATCCCTCCTGGCAGGAGGAAAAGGTGATCTGAAATGCACCACCCTATCAAACAAAACAACTTGGGAACAATCAAGGAAAAGGAGCTAATAATGATGATAGTAGTAGTGGTAAGTCATAATGATAATGATGGCGATGATAACGCCTCTACCCTGCCCTGCCCTTTGGGAACAAGCCGGAAAAAGGTGATAATGATGATGCCACACCACACCCAAGAACTTTGGAACAACCAGGAAAAAGGTGATAATGATGATGGCGGTAATAATGATCATTATGCTCTACACTGGACTTCCGCCCACCCCAAACCACTTTGGAACAAACAAGCAAGGTGGAGACCTTAAAAGTTTTTTATGTGCCAGGTAACTCCAAGTGAGCCTGCCGCAAAAAGAGCTTTTAAGCTCTCCACCTGGCTTGGATTTATCTTGCACAATACTAACCAGCCGGCTTTCAACAATGTATGGTTAAAATCATGCAAGTTAAATGAGTGTTAGATGCAACTGTACACAATCTGTGGCTGTACTTACAAAATGATGACTATTCAATGAATGAACTGGTTCTAAAGATTCTGAACCTGTGTTTACCGGTCAATTATATAGAGAAGCATTTATACATTTTTTTAAAAAGTGATTCTTATGTAATTGTGAAACAAATAAATGATCTGGAACACTGGATGTACTTCCTAACAGAATGCACCAATGTTCAACTGCTTATTTTGTGGTTCTCTATATTCATTCTAAACATGTATTAAACATCTGCAAAATGGACAAAGACACAAAAAACCGATTAACAAAATCTCGCACAAGAACTCCTACACCACCAGAATAGCATGCAATAAGCCTGATGTTATGTCATGCATGGCTAAGAATGTAGCAACTAAATTTAGAAAATCCTGAAGGAATCTACAGCAGCTGCAACCTACCCTGGTCTTAAACTGGAGTCTGAAGAGCCAAAAGAATAAAAGACTGAAAAGCACAATTGTTAATCGTTTTAAATCTACTTTAGTCCTTTGAACAGAAGAGAGTAACGGCAGCAAACATAGTTAGATAAGGAGATGCAATACAGAAGACAGGAGCATCCTTTAAACACTTTATTACTTCATTTTCACTGTTAATGAAACTTTTGAAACACACAGCGGCAAACTTCAACAGTACCATCACTGAATTGTCAGAACCATCTGTTTTCATAATCTTTGTATCACCATTTGTCCAAACTGCAAAATAAATATGGAGAGGGGGGGAAAACCCTTAATTCACCTGGTGCAATTTTGCCATCCTGTGCAGCTGGTCCATCTTTCAGTACATTCTTCACCTGCAGAAACTCATCTGGTCTGTCTCCACCAATGATTGTGAAGCCAAAGCCCATATTGCTTTTCTTCAATGATGTCCGTATGAGTGCTCCTATCAACTGGGATGGGTCTCGGGTGAAGAGAGACTTCACTGGTTCTGCAGACAAGCAAAAGGGTTCCCCATATAGTCATTCAATAATTGGGGCTGCAGCTAAAGCTAGCTAATATAGCAGTAATACACAATCTAACAAGAAAAATGACTGCAAGAATAGTCAAATAAAAGCAACGAAGGAGATGCAGGGGAAAATATAACATTTGGAATAAGCTTAGAAATAAATCTTCATAGCAGAAATCAAATTTGAAGTCATAACCAATGAAATAGCAGCTCCAGTTCCAGCCCGGGGGTGGGGTGGGGGGAGCCAGGCTAAGTATGGATTTGCCTTTATCTGGTTAAAAGGATAATGCTAAGAAAGAAAAGAACCTTTTGAGTTTCATGTTAACACAAAAGACAACTGGAGATTATGACTGTTCCAGTTATCTTATGTTTGTTGCCAGGAGTATGGCTGGGCCATAACTGTTTATCAAATGCTGTGCTTAGAACTGAAGGCAGGAACCAGAAGACATGAAGCCACACACTTGCTGGCTCCATCTTCATCCTGTGTCCAGATAGCCAAATCACTGTCTGTCCATCCACACTATGGAGTGGCCAAGCTGATTACAACAAATGGTTTTAGGATGCCTTAAGCTCATTATGCAGCTATAAGACCACCAATTCGTTTCAAATGCAGAGATTGTTTTAAATATACAGCACAGCAATATTGTCTTATGGGTTATTAATGCTCACCTATGACAATGTGTGTATAAAACATAAAGTCTTCAAATGGAGGCAGTGTCATTTGCATATTTTGCAAATTGTCACGTGTGTTGAAAATGTAATTATTATTTCAGTCTTTAGACATTTTACACACATGTCATGTCTGTAGGAAACTCAATGCAGCACAAAGCTTCTACATACAAATGGAGACCTCCAGATGATGTTGGATTCCAACTCCCAAAAGCCCCAACTGAGGGGTGTTTAGCATGAGGGATCTTTGAATGGGAATCCAAAGCAAGCCTCAGCTTCACTTTCAAGCAGCAGTAATAGCAGCAGACGGCACATGCTGCATTCACCAAAAAAAGCTTGGTGGCCTGCCTACTAATGGCCCTTAGGTATGTAGTATTGCACATAAAGTGCACCATAAGATGGAAAAATATTTATGCTCATAGTTTCTGATAGATAAATAAATAAGCTACAAAAATAAACACAAACCACTCATTGGTGAGATTAATAAAGTAGTACTTAATGGTTTAAGGGACGCAGGTGGCGCTGTGGGTTAAACCACAGAGCCTAGGACTTGCCAATCAGAAGGTCAGTGGTTTGAATCCCTGTGACGGGGTGAGCTCCCATTGCTTGGTCCCTGCTCCTGCCAACCTAGCAGTTCGAAAGCACTTCAAAGCGCAAGTAGATAAATAGGTACTGCTCCAGCGAGAAGGTAAACGGCATTTCCGTGTGCTGCTCTGGTTCGCCAGAAGCGGCTTAGTCATGCTGGCCACATGACCTGGAAGCTGTACGCCGGCTCCCTCGGCCAATAAAGCGAGATGAGAGCCGCAACCCCAGAGCCGGTCACGACTGGACCTAATGGTCAGGGGTCCCTTTACCTTTACTTAATGTTTGAAAATATTTTCTAAAATATCTGTTAAAATTAACTGACAATTCTTTCCCTGTGTGATAATGAAAGCTAACACAACTATGTTCAACATGTAAAGCTGCCATTGAAACCAATACCTGGATTTGAAGGGCCTCCATCCGTCTGTCCTAGCTGTTTTTTCCGTTTGGCTTCCAAAACTGGATTTTCAAACTGGGTTTTCTGGTTAATATGACTGAAAAAATATACAAGACATCAGTGAAAATTTAATTGTGAAATATTTTTCATAATTTTCACAAAAAGGCCAACCCAAGTGGCCCATTCCCCTATAGAACAATTATTTTTGTTTCTGGAATCAACAATGAGAAGCAAATATCGAGTATTAGCAATCATGAGCCAAAGTTAGGGTGAACTGGTCAAACTCAGAAGAGTTTGTAATATACTAGAGAGTGGAATAAGACTGCCCAAGTTTCCCTCGTGTTTGTTCTCTTCTTTAGCAATTGTTAGTCAACAGCCCTAAAAAGGGGGGGGGGGGTAATAAATGGAATACAGCACAATGTTAGTGCTTTCGCTGATGATATGCAACTTTTATTTAAAGACCCTTTAGTAGCAGTACTGGAAGCATTTGCTACACTTTGAAATTATGGCACAATAGCAGGGATGCAGTTAACCACTTTTAAGTCTGACATACTTTATGTGAGAGTGAATCTGATGATGCAGTATCAGATCAGACACCTATTAGGCTTCATGTTATGTCCCTGGCAAATTAAATATCTCAGAGTTTACTTAACCAATAACTTGTCGCACTTAACAAGAGTCAATTTTGTACCACTGCTGTGTCAAATCAGGAAGAATCTTAAATCCTGGTTGAGATTAAACCTATCATGGCTAGGGGGGACATTGCAAATGTTAAATTTTCTTTTTTGCTACACTTCCCTTCCTTATTCCAAACCCTGCTGGTTCCAAACTTATTCAAGTTTAAGGCTAGCAGTTGTTGTTAAATAGAGTTATTCATGGGAGCAAGAAGGCAAGGATGAGAAATAAGGCAGATCTGCAATGTGAATCAAGAAACCAATTACATCACTGTCAAATTAGAGAAAATTTAAAATTGTTTGTAGATCACCCCTTTAGAATTGTCAATATGTGGGTGTGGGTGGGTGGGTGGGTGTGGGTGTCATTTATTCAGATGTAGTGGCTGTGTCTGGCAGTAAATGTCTTTTCGTTTTCTGTCCATTCTAAAATAGTGCATATTTTAGGGGTGACATGGATAACAACTCTCCCTCTAGCTCTAGTAAGCATTTTTGATGGTCCTAATCAAGATTTATTCTACAAAGAGCTGATACTGTTCCTGATTATTGCAGCTCAGTTAGAAATAGTCTATTAGTGGATTACTCTCTTAGGTATTGTGCTTAATAACTGCTATAACTGAGTGTGGACCATACTGATGGATGAGAAACTTATGAGTCTTGTTTAAAAAACTCAAGGCTAAACTGACAGAGATAAATTCACCATTTTATTGTTTTTGTTTATTCCGTATATCAAAAGACAAAAGCAAGAATCAAGACCCCATTGAACACATGGTTATTTATAGAAGGACTCAGACATTAACTTATTCATGGCTTGTCTTTATTGTTTGTTATCTTAAAAGCTGTGATATAGGAAGCTGTGAAATTGTTCAGTTATATTTTCTTTTCTCTATTAGTTATTGTAATGATAAAATGTAAATAAAATGAATAAACCAATATTGACTTCAAGTTTAATATCTGCTTCTTCAGGTTTTTAAAGAAATGTAAGTTTTGACTAGGAAGCTGGCTGAATCTCATTATGATACTTTGGAAGCCTTAATCATGTAAACAGCTAGTGGTTTGCAAAATTCCAAGTTTACTACTTAGCAGTACAGTGGTACCTCGGGTTAAGTACTTAATTCGTTCCGGAGGTCTGTTCTTAACCTGAAACTGTTCTTAACCTGAAGCACCACTTTAGCTAATGGGGCCTCCTGCTGCCGCCGCGCCGCCAGAGCACGATTTCTGTTCTCATCCTGAAGCAAAGTTCTTAACCTGAAGCACTATTTCTGGGTTAGCAGATTTTGTAACCTGAAGCGTATGTTACCTGAAGCGTATGTAACCTGAGGTACCACTGTATCTGAATGCACTGTAAAATTATTACAATATGATAGCATCTTACACAGGGGTTTTGTTCCAAGGGTTCCACATATACTGTACATGAAAACCACATATACCCAAACACTTGGAGTCACGCCATGGCTCGTGGGTGAGGGGGAGACAGAAGGAATTGCCAGTATTCCCAGAGCTTGTACACCAAGCGGGCCTTGCCCAGCAAGCATGATGGAGAGCTTAAAAGCTGTTTCTGCACCAAGTAACCCAAGCAGATTCTGCTATGCTTGGGGAGCAAGGCCAATTCAATGTGCCAGCTCTAGGGATCCGGGAATCCTTTTGCAGCAACATGGGTGGCCTCGCAAAAGCATCACACAGCCAGTGCGCTGAGTGGACCTTGGAAGCAGGGTGGAGAGCTTAAAAGCTCTTTCCACACTAGGTAACGCCAAAGGGACCCAGCACAAAAGAGTTTTTAAGAGCTTCACCTTGCTTGGATTTAGCTTGCACAATTTCAACCAGCTTACCTTTAATTGAGTGTGGTTGAAATCTTGCAAGTTAAATGAGCACAAGATGCAATCGTACTGTGCTGAAGAACCAATGAAGATAATTATAAGTCTCATTGACAGCAATAATAATCTTTGTCTGGAACAGTTATGGCTAGCTTTTATTGGCTTCTATTCAAGTTACTGCAGATTACGATCAATCTCTACCAGTCTGGGAATCAAGTCACATATTTCTTTAGTAGAGGCATTTTCATGCTACTTTGTACCCGTAGCATACCACGTGCTCATTAAATATATATATAATTATCCTGACACATTAAATATATAACATTGGAAGGTATTACATCAGAACACTTCTCTGTAATTAAAGATAATAGAACTCTTGTGACCTTTTCATATAAGCATTCAGGTTGAGAAATCCTAGTACCTTAAAAAAAAAGAAGAAAAAAGAACTATTGACTGCAGATGAACTATTCCAGTCATATATTTAGGAGTGTAGATCACATGCTTTCATTAGTAAAACAAATGTTATAGAAATTTAATCACAGCTTCCTCAAAAGGTGCCATGAAAGCCAAACAAATGGATAACCAGACAAGGTTTTCTAGGTCCCATTTATTGCTCCCATTCATATCTCATCCTTCCTCCAAAGACCACATGGTGACATACACATAGCAGTTCCATTTGTCCATACAACTCTGTGAGGTAGGTTAAGAGAGAATGAACTGACAAAGTGAGCCTTACGGCTGAATGTGTCCTGGAATTCATTGCCAGATGAAGAACTCAAACTCAGGATTATGTTCTGCCAAATTCTTAAATGCATACCGTGGTATATTTGAGACGTACATAGTCAAGGCAAGAATTAAAGGTACAGCAGGTGAACTGCATGGCTAACTACAAGCTGAAACATTGATCCAACAAGCTACACACACCCTGCCTCTTCTTTTTGAAGATAAGGTGAGCACAAGATTTAGCATGGCAAACAACAGTTGTTTGTGCTCTAGGCAAGCAAATGGGCACATCTGCTAGTGGGTTGGTCCTGTGGGGTTTGTTTCAGTGTGCTTGGTTCCAGAGGTGCTAGTTCAGTATCCAACTTACTCTCCTGGAGGAGGCTCCTTACTGATAGGAGGAACTGGCAGCTGCATAGACCCTATAGGAGGTACCTGACTGATATCACAGGGGTGAGACACTTCTCTGACAACCTGCTTAAACCTTCACCAGAATCAAACTCCTGACTCTTGACTGATCCCTCCGCCAGCTCTGACATTCTCAATTTCTTGTCCTTTGGGTCATCTAGTTCCAATTCCCTGATTCCCTCACCTCTTCAGGATCCGCCCATCACCTCTGTGGCATCTCCACAGGACTCATGACAGAGTGAGGACATGAAATGTAAGCCAACACTCTATCTACTCCATAACTTCTCTGAATCCTACAATAAAAATTAAATCTATGTCTATGTCATTGGCAGATATTGTTCATAACAGACAACTGCTGCTGTGTTACTTCTGATAGCTAGCATCAAAATAAGACACAAAATAATCTGGTCTAAAGATAGTAATTCATAACTTAAAGCTTGCTATACTTAAAAAGGCATCAGAGTATAATCAGAGCTTTCAAAACATCCTGGGAGAGCCTATTAAAAGATCAACCTCTCCAATGTATATCTCATTTGCTGCTTACAGCCCTTGAATTCCTATGCAACATATAATATGAGTATATCCTAAATCAGAGGAAGTCGTTTGTTCTTGGGCCATGTGTGGCCAAGATCCGCAATCTGACATACACATGTCACCAAGCTTACATCTATGAAAACCCTGTATAAACAGAACTCCTTCAACTGGAAGTTGAAATTTTCAGGATTATTCCCAGAGCAATATATTTTATGCCAGATACTTGTTGAACACAACTACAGCCATGCAAAATCACACATCTTTAAAAGGTTTCTCTGCACTTATATAGCATATTTAATAGGACTGACAGTGACCAACCTTGCTTGATTTGCATCGGTTTATTATTTCTGAATGACGAATCAAGATCAGAGTTAAACCTTATGACAAATCTATAGATTTGTCCACTAACATTTTGGAATACTCCCTAGGATAATGTTTAACAAAAAGGACCCAACAAAACATGCCAGAACTGCCTCATTATTACCTGCATTTTACATTACTACATATTTGAGGAGACAGAGCACTCTGTTATGACAATGACAGGACTAGATCAGGGAAGGGCCATAGGTCAGCGGTAGAGCATCTGCCTTGCATGCAGAAGGTCCCAGGTTAAATCTCTAGCATCCCCAGGTACGGCTGGCGAATCTCCTGGCTGAAATCCTGAGAGCCACTGCCAGTCAGTGTAGACAATACTAAGCTAGATGGACCAATGGTCTGATTAGCACAAGGCAGCTTTCTATGTGTGTTATGTGTTTATATTGATAATACTAGTAGCAATTTCATTTTTGAATCACACATACACACACTCTTATCTCTCTATCATGGAAGGCCTTGTGATATTCTCTGAAGTACAGTGCAATAATTAGTGCAATAATTCAATTTACCAAACACTAATCTTCCTCCAAATATTGGTCTCTGCTTAAACTTTAGAACCTTCCAGACTCCCATCTGCACTTCTAAACACAGGAATTTATGGACATATTACGGAAAAAAAGTTTCTTTTTTCTGTATGAAATAAAGTAGCCTCTAATTATCCTGAATGCTGTTATAGAGGAGCACTTTTATAAGGAAGTCAAACTAGAGCTTGAGGAGGAAATATTAACTGTAATAAGACTAAAATGCCAGCATTTCTACATAAAACTCACAATCAATTTTCCAGAACAGATTACTTTAAAACCGGGCATTAAGTGCTGAGGAAGAGTGACCTGGGTAGTCCTAATACGTCATCTAGCTTTGATTTTTGTTTGTTACTTACAGTGCAGTGGAGATATTGAATCAAGGACACAATAAAAGCATTTCACGATCGGTGCTAAAATAAGCCATGCTTTATCCAGGGTGCTTGTTGTATAACCGTTGCAAGATAGTAAGGTGTAGTATTTTGTATTTAAATAGAAACATGCAGAACTATAAGGATAGTTATAAGAGATATTTAAGCTATTTTGAGAAAGATCATGTTTCAGAGAATCAAAATGTGCTTTGGAGAGTTTCAGATGTACTGAAGCAACCCTGTTATTCTTGCCTGATTTTTCAGTGGCTTTCAATGCCAAAATCTAGGGTATTCTCCTTAACTGACTCCGCTTTTCCAATATTGCTTTTGCTATATTTTTGTAGACCATTCAGAGATATTTAAATAACAAGCAGTTTAGAAATGCCTTTAAATAAACTAAACCAAATAAACAATTTAGCCCCCACACTGGAAGTTTCCCATCTCTGTATTTGTTAAAAAAAAACAAAACAAAACAGGCAGTCAGTTGTGGACAGAAAGCTAAGAACACACTACTGCTTCACTTGCTGTAGGAATGTATGTATCTATCCATCTATGGAACACGAATGCATACTATGTATGTGCAGATGTTATTCAATTCTTCTGGGAGATACGCGGAAACATTAACTAAATATTGGCCTCCTAATCATGGTTTTTAAGCACAATAAAACTTAGGGAAGTTTTTAATGTTTGAAGTTTTATTCTGTTTTTAATGTTATGTTGAAAGCCACCCAGAGTGGCTGGGGAAACCCAGCCAGATGGGCGGGGTAGAAATAAAAAAAATTATTTATTTATTTATTTGTTATTATTGTTATTAAAAAACAAAAAGTAGAACTTTGCACTTGTTTACATATCATGCTATGTTTCTCTATGAGATCATAAAATCAAGCTATGAAGAAGCATGAGAAAACTTACTCAACGTAGTATGTTCCATACTGAGGATCTTCTATTTTCTCCCAACCATATGGAAGCTCTGTAATTGGAAAAGAACAATGGAGTTTATTAATTATAGATTATATTTACATTTAAATACCAATAGTTTGCTGTGGATTATTTATTTATTTTTGCCTTATCTACTTCAATTCATCCAATGGGATTTCGTACTGCAGATCTATTTCTCATATTTCTTACTTGCAAATACTGAAATTAACTGTGGCTGGGCATGCTGCATTTCCTCACTCATTTCATTGTAGGATTTAAAAAAACTCATTCTAGAACAAAAGCAGTTCTTGTAGTCTCGCTTTAAAATAATTTATCATGACATAAGGCCACCCTCACGTACCTCCTGCCTACACATTTCACTTGTATGCCATCCTTTTATGCTAGAAAATGTTGCATTTATATGTTAATGGAGGAGGTAAACACAGCTGCTACATTACCACTTCCCTCTGATGTTGCCAAAGGTGTTAACAATCAACTAACCAGTTCTGCCTTTGCCTTCAGGACTAAGCTTGGGTTAGAAAATGCTGAAGCTCCTTTTATTGTGCCTGGATTGTTGTTGTTGTTGTTTAGTCGTTTAGTCGTGTCCAACTCTTCGTGGCCCCATGGACCAGAGCACGCCAGGCACTCCTGTCTTCCACTGCCTCCCGCAGTTTGGTCAAACTCATGCTGGTAGCTTCGACAACACTGTCCAACCATCTCTGTCATCCCCTTCTCCTTGTGCCCGCCATCTTTCCCAACATCAGGGTCTTTTCCAGGGAGTCTTCTCTTCTCATGAGGTGGCCAAAGTATTGGAGCCTCAGCTCAGCTTTGTACATATCCAGAATGCCTGAGACTACAGTGGTGCCCTGCAAGACAAATGCCTCGCAAGACGGAAAACCCGCTAGACGAAAGGGTTTTCCGTTTTTCAATGCGCTTCGCAGGACAAATTTCCCTATGGGCTTGCTTCGCAAGACGAAAATGTATTGCGAGTCTTGAGATTTTTTTTCCGCTCCCCCCCCCTTCTTCTAAGCCGCTAAGCCTTTAATAGCCTTTTAGCAGCTAAGCCGCTAAGCCTTTAATAGCCGCTAAACCGCTAATCCGCTAAGCCGCTAATAGGGTTGCTTCGCAAGACGAAAAAACCGCTAGACGAAGACACTCGCGGAACGGATTAATTTCGTCTTGCGAGGCACCACTGTACACAGAACTGCATCAATGCTCTGAAGCCCAGGTTTTTCCACAGCCTTCCCTTATTACAAACTACACTAGGATGATTAGCTAGAACCAAGATGCTAGATAGTTTTAATTTGTGGGTAAGATAACTTTTCTGACAAATTATATTCAAATGTGCAGTTTACTTGTATGGGTATTAAAACCAAAAGTACTTTTGCAATTTCAACCAGAGCTGAACTGAACCCTACTTAAGTAACAGGATTCTGAGTTTCTCACCTCCATCTTCACAGTCTTCAGGAGCTTTGGCTTTTTTACAAAGGCGAGGATCCAGCCAGGTGGTAGTTTTGGTGTTGTGACTGTGGGACGCAAAGGATCTAGTTAAAGATTGTTTACAAAAGTCCCCATCACATACAGATTCTTCCCTATTACACAGTCTAACATGGATATGGGTTACACAAACATGCAATCACATAGGCAATATCCCTCACAGCAAAGTGCTAACTGAGAGCAAAAGATCCATGGCACACAGTTGCTCCATTTGTGGAACTGGAGCTTGTATGAAGATAGGTTTTGTGGAAAAAAGATTCCTAAGGAATTAATTCCCACTTATACAAATATTCCAAAATAGAAAACTAACTGCAAAATGCAACTGTGGTTTGTAATTGTTTGGAAAATACCACCAATGTTATTTGTGATGAAGAGGCCAAAGAGGGAAAATGATACATTTCGACATGTTTGAATCATGTTCTTTTGTATAGTTGTGAAGTAAGAATTCACACAAGGAATGAAATAATAATCAGCCATAAATGGTTTCGGGTTTATGTTTCATGGTCACAGTTCATGATGTTATTACTACAAAACAGCAGGCATCTTTTGCGTGAAGGTTAACCTAGGTTACAGTTGTCAAAAAATGCTGGTAACTCAGCATTCAATGCACGATGAATCTAGTGGTTCCATGAAACTGCGTGGGTGTATGTGTAAGTTCAGCAGAGAACAAACAGACCTACTGAAACAAAAATACACATGTCCCTTCTGGCTCTCTTGGAAATAGACATAAAAACATACTCTATTCATCTTGCTTTTAAGAACTTATACCTATGTAAAGATACATAATCTCTTGTGTCATTTAAGATATGGAATGGTGCAATTTTATACCATAAAGGCCAGAAAAGATAGAGATCTATTTTTCAAAATGCAGCACTGTGTTCTCAAAATATTTACATAACTGAAGGCCATATGCAAGATCTGGGGTGACCTTACTATCTCTAAATTGGCAGACAGGCTAATAGTTGTATTAAGAAGATACAACTTTAAGAATGAAAGCTTAAAATTATTATTGTAGGTTTCACTGACTATCTTGTCACATATTTAAATATGGATATTTACGGAGATGCCTCCTATAAAAGGAAGCTTGTCCTGAACAATCTACACAGACCTTCAATTTTGGGAAATTTATTTTTCAAAGATAGAGAGAGAAATTGTCCTTATAACAGAAAAATTGCAACGCCATAATTGCCCTTTCCTTCAAATTAACTTTTGTATTAGAACATACCAACATTATCTCTTGGGGTAGGGGCATAAAAATCCAAGTCTCCCTTAATCTAAACTGAGGGAGGGGGGGCTAGATTAGATAGAGGTGTCTCTTTGCCCAGTTCTCCCTCTTGTCAGCCACTGAACCCATGGGCAGTCCAATGGAAGGGGCCAGTGGAAAGTCCTAAAATGAGGCTGAGCTCTCTCAGATTCTGCTGGGTCTTGAGTCAGTTTCATTGCCATCATATAATGGCATCAGGCCCAACAGGGGACTAAACACTGTGCCAGTATGCAGTGATCAGCCCCTACTGGGACTAATCATTCCCCCCTACATTTGGGCTTCCATGAGTAGTAGGGTTGTGAATGTGGTAGCAGCCCATCTGCTCTACAAGGCACCATCAGAAAGGGAGGAAGTCAGGATTGCGCCCTAACTTGTAAGGACTGGTAACCCTTTAACAGGCAAATTAACTGGCAAAAATAATATCCTCTTAAACAAACAAAAAACCTTCAGTCACTTCAGTCAATCCTAAATTGCACACAAGCATACCAAACTTGTACTCACTCAATGAAGTAGATCATGCCTGTGTCTGTGTATGCCATCTCCCAGTTCTTAGGTAGAGGCTCTAGGTTTTCTTCCCTTGATAAATAGTTTCTGAAATCCATCGAACTACTTGTCTGACTGTAACTAGGAACAGGCTTCATCCAGTCGGAAGACTCTGAATGTCTTTCTTTGCTTTCTACAGC